AATGATATAGTCAAATGTCTTGGTCAATCAACAGAAGGGTCGTTATTTGTGGATGACTTCTTGATCTGTTACAGATCTAAGAACATGCACACGATAGAACGACAACTTCAACAGAGTTTAAACAAACTACAAAATTGGGCAGACGAAAACGGCTTCAAATTCTCTAAATCCAAAACTGTGTGCATGCATTTCTGTCAAAAACGAAAAGCACACAATGACCCAAATCTAACACTCGATGGCACTAGAATTCCTGTTGTTGAACAGACTAAATTTCTCGGCCTCATTTTTGATTCGAAACTCTCTTTCATACCACATATAAAGTATCTGAAGGATAAGTGTTCCAAGGCGTTAAACATTATACGAGTCCTTTCTCATACTGATTGGGGAGCGGATCGTGAAATGCTTTTGCGCCTATACAGATCACTTATTCGAACAAAACTGGATTATGGTTCTATGGTATACGGGTCAGCGCGCAGTTCGTACCTTCAGATGCTAGATCCAATCCATAACCAAGGGCTACGTCTTGCCCTGGGAGCTTTTCGAACAACACCTGTAAAAAGCCTGTACGTGGAAGCAAATGAACCATCCCTTTATGACAGAAGAATAAAACTTTCATTACAATTTGCAACTCAATTAAAATCAAACCCTAAAAATCCTGCTTTCAACCAAGTATTCAACCCCAAATACCAAAACATATTTACGCAAAACCAAAAACTTCTGCCAACATTTGGTATCCGAATTTTGAATTTCCTGCAAGAACTCAACATAAAATTGACGGACATAGCTGAATTTAACATATCTGATGTTCCTCCGTGGACCATTCAAACCCCCGATTTTAACTTTACATTACATGAGCGAGGGAAATCAAGTGTTATGCCCGAAGAACACAAATCCTCCTTTCGGGAATGCATTTCGAATTACCCTTCTCATACACAACTTTACACCGATGGCTCCAAAGAAGGTGAGAAAGTGGCAGCAGCCTGCTGTACTGCCAATACTTGCACTTCAGTCCGACTACCAGACGGCGCCTCCATCTTTTCTGCTGAAGCATGCGCCATTGGTTTGGCCCTCGACCATATCGATGAACACCGCATTAAAAAGGCAATTATTTGTTCAGACTCTCTATCTGTCCTACAGAGTTTACAGTTACGAGATCCTAAAAACACAATCGTACAAAACCTTGCTCTTCGAATATCTCGTATATTAAAAAAGTCTAAAATAACTTTACTATGGATTCCGAGCCATGTCGGAATAAAAGGCAACGAATTTGCTGACAGGGAAGCAAAAAATGCATTGAATCTCGAACAAACAAATATCAAACTACCATACACAGATTTTAAACCTACTATTCGTACAGCCATTCAAAATGAATGGCAGAAACGCTGGTCTCTGGAGACCAACAACAAACTTTTTAAGATACAACCGAAACTTAAAACATCTATTCCCAGTCGGAAAGATCGTAGAGAGGAAGTTGTCCTCGCTCGGCTCCGCACTGGGCACACATATCCTACTCATTCGTACCTTTTAAAACGAGAAGATATACCTTCATGCCACGCATGTGACACTCCATTTACAGTGGAGCATTTTTTAATAGAATGTTCCGATTTTAAACACATTCGTGATAACTACTTCCGAGTCCCGGATATGAAAACACTTTTCAGTTCCGTGGATTCGAAGGCATTATTTAACTATTTGAAAGACATCGGTCTATTTTATAGACTCTGATGTCTTTTAACCAACCTTATCATTTTTGACGTTATATATATATCGCATATTCCATATCATCTATTCGTTATCTCTTTTATTATTTTAACCCCCTTTTATTATTTTTTATTATCTACACATACAATGCGAATACTTTTAAACTGAACCATTTTTATCTGATTTTATCTTCGCTATTCACATGTTTGTTAAAAAAGTAAAATAAATAAATAAATCACCATGGCCCTAAATGACCACAGCCGTTGATGGGCCGTTAAACATAAACAAACAAACAAACAAACTGTAAGATATATAACCAAGAGAGTTACTCTGTAAGATATATACACAGGAGAGTTACTCTGTAAGATATATAACCTTGGGATTTACTCTGTAAGATATATAACCTTGGGATTTACTCTGTAAGATATATACACAGGAGAGTTACTCTGTAAGATATATAACCTTGGGATTTACTCTGTAAGATACGACCAGTCAAAAGGAGATTTACTTTATAAGTAACCAGGAAATTCACTCCGTAAGATAAGTCATCAGGGGATTTACTTTCACCACAAATTCCTTTACCAGATTATTTTATTATCATAGTAAACTAATCTATCTTACAGTGTGAGTCAGCAGAGCCCAGTAAGCAGATTGGAACAGAACAGTCTCCACAGCACACAGCGACAGTGTCCACGACTACGTGCCTGTCTCTTTCTCGCCGCAAGGAAAGCCATGCTTGTTGCAAAAGATAAGACCGTAGAGCTCATCGACTTGTATCTTTTTTATTTGATGTTCTTTTACACAGTCCAGTCACTAGTTGTCTACCCATCTATAGAATGTACTGTATAATCTGTTTATCATGATGTGGTCTTTACTGTGTCACTGTGACCTTTATGTAACCTTTAACCTTAACCTTAACTACCAAATTAATGGTTTCCACAGCATATCTTAACTGCTGTTTCGTGAATAGACATCAGACTTTTTATATAGGCACAGCTTGGGAAAGCAGTGTCACACCATAAATGAGGTCACTGTGACCATGTTTTAATGTTAATGATAATCTGGTCATTGGCAAAATAATAAAATAAGTATTAATGATGCCAAGTTTTGTACCTCAACATATAGGTAAATGTTCATTAGAAAAACAAATTACACAAAAATATGTGCTCATTTGAAATTTTTTGGTGATGGTCCAAATGAAAGAAAGATAATGAAAGTCATCTCGAAGCAAGTTATTAGCTCACCTGCCCAAAGGACCATGGTCTGTGCGTCTTTCTGTCCGGCGTCAAAATTTTACTTTAATTTTTTTCTCAGAAACCAAAAAGCTTCGAATGATGATATTTGGCCAGTAGCATGCTGAGATGAAGGGCTACCAAATTTGTTCAAATTAATGACCTTCATCCTTTTTCAAGGTCATAGGGGTCAAATATGTCCAAAATCTTTAAAACAACTTTTTCTAAATAACCAAGAGGCCTAGGGTGATGATATTTGTCCAGTAACATGCTGCAATGAAGGGCTACCAAGTTTGTTCAAATGAATGACCTTAACCTATATTCAAGGTCACAGGGGTAAAATATGTTGAAAACTGTAAACAACTTCTTCTTTATAACCAAAAGGACCAGGGTGATGATATTTTGCCAGTTACATGCCGGATGAAGGGTTACAAGTTTGTTCAAATGAATGACCTTCAACCATTTGCAAGGTCACAGGGGTCAAATAAGTTGAAATCTTTAAACAACTTCTGAATAATCTAAAGGTCCAGGGTAATGATATTTGGCCAGAAGCATGCTCAACCTAATGTCCTTTTTTGACTTTCAAGGTCACATGTGTCACATGTTGAAATCTTTTAATAGGTTTGCCTGTAGCTGTATTTTAGTCTACTTTTAAGTTTACAAGTGTAAGATTAATACTGGTTGAGCGATTCAGGACAATGGGCCTTTTTGTATACCTTTTAGATACTGGTTATATAGATAATATTGATATTTTGAACTAAGATAAAGTGTACCGGGTCCGGTATTTATGTAGCCCTACCTACCCTAACAGTTAGTCCCTACCCAACACGTTTTTATTTTAACAAGCTTTACGTAATTTGTGTTAAAAGAAATTCAAAAATAAAAGTACTGACCCACCAATTGCAAACTACCCAATCTTTCAAAGTCATGGTGGAAAACAGACTATTTTTTCATTTGGCTTTGCCTTGATTTCTTAGTTATTTCCCTTAGCCACATGATCAGGTATCCCCTGGGTGGGGACATTGATGGGGCCCTCAATTACTTGGCCCAGGTACCTGTAGGGGAGTACGGCCCCTGTGTACAGACTGACGGGGAGGATGAGGAAGGCAGGTCACACCTGTATAACATCACCGACGGATTCTCTGTGGCCTCACTAAAGGTAAATAAACAGATGTTTGGCCAGATTACATGATACCTGTATAACATCACTGACGGATTCTCTGTGGCCTCACTATAGGTAAGTAAACAGATATTTGGCCAGATTACATGTTACCTGTATAACATCACTGACGGATTCTCTGTGGCCTCACTATAGGTAAGTAAACAGATATTTGGCCAGATTACATGTTACCTGTAAAACATCACCGACGGATTCTCTGCGGCCTCACTAAAGGTAAGTAAACAGATATTTGGCCAGATTACATGTTACATGTATAACATCACCGACGGATTCGCTGTGGCCTCACTAAAGGTAAGTAAACTGATGTTTGGCCAGATTACATGTTACCTGTAAAACATCACCGACGGATTCTCTGTGCCTCACTAAAGGTAAGTAAACAGATGTTTGGCCAGATTACATGTTCCCTGTATAACATCACCGACGAATTCTCTGTGGCCTGACTAAAGGTAAGTAAACAGATGTTTTGCCAGATTACATGTTACCTGTATAACATCACTGACGGATTCTCTGTGGCCTCACTAAAGGTAAGTAAACAGATATTTGGCCAGATTACTTGTTACATTAATTGACAGATAGCATATTTGCTACAGTAGCTCTGTATAACACTGTTCTGTTACTATATGCTTTGTAACTTTTTGAAGTTTTTATTTTTCTAGGGGATCAAACATTTATGTGACCTACACATATCAGAGCTGTTCAGACGTTTGACTTTCACCCTGTGTTATTCAGGTGAGGTTTGAATTGTAGTGTAGATTGACCTTATCATACTGTGCAATATGTTTACAAAGATACCTTGTTATAGCGCTCTGTGTTGTCTGTTTTGTATATTGGGGCTATTATAATATAATTATTTGTTGGTTTCATCTTATATAAATTTGCAGACTAATTGAAATTTAACTTTTTATGACTGGTAGTTCCCGGTTAATGACATTTTATACATATTTTTTTTTTTTTTGGATTTATTGCAAGCTCCGTTGGGTATGGATCAGAGTACATGATCGTATACTTCAAAATTAAACAAATTGCTAATCAATAATGCATCTATTACATCTGTGAGTTTTTACTAATCAGTTATTTAAAAGGTGGAAAAATAAATGCCTTTTTTCATTTATTAGAGATTATTTTAAAGTTATGTAGCATCTTCTAGATTTTGAGCAGTGTAATTGCTGGAGTATCAAAAATTGACACATGACAATTCGAAAACTCTTGGTAGGTGAGGTGAGTCTGAGGCCGGAGACAACTGGAGTGGAGACCCTAATGACTAGTATCCACACCCCCATGCTTGAGGAGAGACAAAGACTACAGCAGATGTACAACTCTCACAGTTGTTTGATTGAAGAGAAGGCAACACAGACCCCAAAGTACGCCCCTCCTAATGATGCCCACCCACTCAGGGAGACATACATGGCTGTCCACAGTCTTGACCTCCATCTACAAGCAGCCTGGCTTAGGTAATCAACTTATGGCCTCATTATCCTTCAACACATGTGATCATCATGACCTGGTTCAGGTAACCTCTGACCTCTGTATCTGTCTATAGATGACCTGGTTCAGGTAACCTCTGACCTCTGTATCTGTCTATAGATAACCTGGTTCAGGTAACCTCTGACCTCTGTATCTGTCTATAGATGACCTGGTTCAGGTAACCTCTGACCTCTGTATCTGTCTATAGATGATCTGGTTCAAGTAACCTCTGACCTCTGTATCTGTCTATAGATGATCTGGTTCAGCTGACCTCTGTATCTGTCTATAGATGATCTGGTTCAGGTAACCTCTGCCTTCTGTATCTGTCTATAGTTGATCTGGTTCAGGTAACCTATGACCTCTGTATCTGTCTATAGCTCATCTGGTTCAGGAAACCTCTGACCTCTGTATCTGTCTACAGATGATCTGGTTCAGGTAACCTCTGACCCCTGTATCTGTCTATAGATGATCCGGTTCAAGTACCCTCTGACCTCTGTATCTGTCTATAGATGATCTGGTTCAGGTAACTGTTCCTTCCACTCCTGCAGTAACTTGATATTTTTAAATAGTGTACATCAGGTGTCCCTAACCTAGGCCTGTTCATAGCTACCAGTATATATAAGTAAAGTTACCTGTAATTAGGCAAACATAAAATGTGACGTCATTTCCCCTTGATGTACAGGAGAAACATGAGGAATGAAGTACGCCAGCTGATGCTGATACTACTGAAAAAGATATAATGTACATTTTACATTTAAAACATTTATGTGATCAGTTAAGCCTAATGTTTGATACATCTTGATCCGGTCACCTAGCTAGGTCTAAGTTGCTTGATCATGATTCAAATTGTTTTAATTTTCCTAGAGTGCGGTCATTGTCCTCTCTACTGGAGACCCACCTTGACCAAAGTGGTGGAAGTCCACTTGACGATGGTGTTGGCAGTCACAATGACCAGCTCAGATTGGATGATGCCTACGATAAGCTCCGCCTCCAAGTGAAACATGAGTTGCATGCTTGTAAGGCTTGTTGGGAGGAGGGGATCAGTCGCCTGGAGAAACTGGAGAAAGTTAAGGCCAACCAACCAGGTCTGTCTCTCTGTCTGTCTGTCTGCATGTCTGTCTGTCGTATTCAGCATCCTGTCTACATCACAATCTTGTGTTAATGTGCATCAGATCAGTGAAATACTTAAATTGCATGACATTTAACAGTTGTCAAATCTTTAAAAAAATATAATATCATCATCATTAATTTAAAAAGTAAAATATGTGCTTACCTTTATCGAAAAAATTGTACTGTACCTAGTTTTTGCAAGTACAAATTCAGTAAAAAAGTTTTTCTTTGTTGATAAAATATATATAGTGATACAGTCTTGTGTATTCTCTTAGCTCAGGAAAATGTAGTAGGTGGCAACAAACCTCTGATCAGATATGAATACCGGTAAAATTAATTACAAGCTAAGGTTAATTAGTGGTAACTAATTTGGAGAAAGTAAATACTACATTAACAAGAAATGAGATTATATAAAACTGCATTATGATTGCACATTTAAGTCACCTTTAGTGATATATTTAAGAGCCTTTAGTGGTTTATTTAAGAGCCTTTAGTGGTATATTTAAGAGCCTTTAGTGGTTTATTTAAGAGCCTTTAGTGGTATATTTAAGTCACCTTTAGTGGTATATTTAAGTCACCTTTAGTGGTATATTTAAGTGCCTTGATTTGCTCGTTCTGGAGTTCCTCCTTGTGCATATTAGCATAGCCAACAAAACAAACCACTTCAAATCAGAAATCAAGCAGTTGAAACATATGTGACTATTATTGGTTCTTAGCAGTACAATAATATCTGTTTATCCTACAGTGGACCCATTGAAGAGGGATGTGTCTCCCCAGGAGGTCCAGTCAGACGGCCCGCCCATCCCCTTGTTTGACATGGGGGACCCTATAATAGAGGATCAGGTATATGATCATGTAGTGAATGCTATATATAATTGTCAACTTTTTTTAAAATTTATGCAAGTTCAAAATTTACACGAAAAAATAATATCTTCATGTATATCGCCTCTGAGTGTTAGAACTATGCAAAACAGCTTTACAGTAACTGCTTTGCTTCATAGATGTGACAAGTTTTGGTATAATCATGTTATCTTAGGTGTTATTGGTATAAGTATGTCATCTTAGGTGTTATGATTACCCTAATCACTAGGCTTGGTATAATTATGTTATCATAGGTGTTAATATTACCCTAATCACTAGGTTTGGTATAATTATGTTATCTTAGGTGTTAATATTACCCTAATTACTAGGTTTGGTATAAGTATGTTATCTTAGGTGTTAATATTACCCTAATCACTAGGTTTGGTATAAGTATGCTATCTTAGGTGTTAATATTACCCTAATCACTAGGTTTGGTAGAAGTATGTTATCTTAGGTGTTATTATTACCCTAATCACTAGGTTTGGTATAATCATGTTATCTTAGGTGTTATTATTACCCTAATCACTAGGTTTGGTATAATCATGTTATCTCAGGTGTTATTATTACCCTAATCACTAGGTTTGGTATAATCATGTTATCTTAGGTGTTATTATTACCCTAATCACTAGGTTTGGTATAATCATGTTATCTCAGGTGTTATTATTACCCTAATCACTAGGTTTGGTATAATCATGTTATCTTAGGTGTTATTATTACCCTAATCACTAGGTTTGGTATAATTATGTTATCTTAGGTGTTATTATTACCCTAATCACTAGGTTTGGTATAATTATGTTATCTTAGGTGTTATTATTACCCTAATCACTAGGTTTGGTATAATTATGTTATCTTAGGTGTTATTATTACCCTAATCACTAGGTTTGGTATAATTATGTTATCTTAGGTGTTATTATTACCCTAATCACTAGGTTTGGTATAATTATGTTATCTTAGGTGTTATTATTACCCTAATCACTAGGTTTGGTATAATTATGTTATCTTAGGTGTTATTGGTATAAGTATGTCATCTTAGGTGTTATTATTACCCTAATCACTAGGTTTGGTATAATCATATTATCTTAGGTGTTATTATTACCCTAATTACTAGGTTTGGTATAATCATGTTATCTTAGGTGTTATTTTTACCCTAATCACTAGGTTTGGTATAATCAGATTATCTTAGGTGTAATAGGAAAAAGAGTATATATTGTGCTTCCACCGGGGATCACAACCCAAAGCTTCCCGGGTCGTTGCTCTACCGATTAAGCTTAAGTGAAATTCCTTCAGCTCTAAGCTAAAAGGTAACCGTAATCCTATGTACAATTACAATCTGCCACACAAATGTTTGAAAGATTAAAAACTGTGATCATTTCATTTTTTTTAAACAATTGGAAAGAGAGAATTAGCTTCCGCTAGCATATAAAGTCCTTATATTATTACGCAACAAATTATATTTGGCAGGTGTTTGAAGCCTACATCACTGAAGACCCTGTTGAAAGCTACTACAATGATTGGGATGAATTCATAACACCCGAAGAAAAGGTATACCTCGGCTAGTCTGAGAAACTGATTCACTGATGTTAACCAATATCAAACAAACGTTTCTCGAGTTATATAAACGACTCAATTATTTTGGATATCATCTTAATTAATTACTCACTTATCCTGTAATAATCATATATAATTCTAGGCCGCTGTAACTGATTTAAATGTGTGTGAAAATGAACTTAACATTGTACTAGTGTAGATGAACATAAACTTTTATGGGAACCAGCAGTATCAAGTATAAGAACTAATTAATTAGAGGAAGACTTATTGCTATGGCTATCAAACGGGTTTACAATTCCACTAGCCCAGGTCTAGTATGTTCAGTATTTACTGTGAAAATATAGGTCGGGCTAGTACTCGAAAAATGAAATTGTACATCTCTGCAGGATTTAATGTGGTATATAAGGCTGGCTGGTGTCTACAGCATACATACATTATTGCTATTTCATCAATGTTTACCAAACTTGCTTTATTTGTATATCTTTGGAAGACAAAGAGTGACATACTGAAATAATTAATACCTCATGTCCTCCGCGATCCATAAACAATGAGTCTAGATGTATGCTGTGTGGCATGCGAGGTGCTGATACTGTTCCTCCCCTGCGGTTTATGTACTCTTGTTAACATTTTCCTGAATCTGTCCTCTGTTTACTACAGGCTAAAAAGAAAAAAGAAAAACAAGAAGCTATGAGGCTTCTAATGGAGCTGAAATCTGTCATATCTGTTCGTGCAACAGAACGGGAGATACGAGAAAACAAGGCATTGGAGAAATCGAGATCACAAAGTAATGGAACATTGTCTGGTAATGGTGCAGAACCATGTTCATCTTCAGGAGATGGAGCTTTACCTGAGGCGGTACCTAGGAATGGGGAGGTAACTCAGTCTGCACAGACACCAGAGAACCAGGAAGTCCCTGTTAGTGTTCCGTGTAAGAGACAGTCTTGTGGTGATTGTGACAGTAATTCGGCAGACAAATTATGTAACTGTACAGAATCAAGTCGTCTACAGACATGTGGACACTTGAAAGACAGTCATAGCACAGAGGATTCTGTAAATGAACATAAGCAAACTTTATGTGATTATCAGTTAAAATCTGGCGGTTGTAATCAAGAAGAATATGCTAGGAAAAGAACTAAAGATTGTGTACGGAATGGTTCAGTGGAGGAGAGCGAGGACTCTGAAGACAAACACTTCTCCACAAGATATAACCAACGGAAAGTGAGACTTCCAGAATACACCGACTCGGAATCTGAAGGAGATGAAGAGCTTGTGAAGGATTGGTGTGGTGTTATCCAGTCAAAACGTGTTTCACATACTACGGAGGATGAATCTGATATATGTGACAATGGCAATGATTCTAATTACGGCCCTCCGTTGATCAGGGACCAGGAAACATTGGCGGAGAGAATGGCTCGTCTGTCAGGAGCAAACATGTCTTTCTCTGCAAATCTAGCTGCCATGGCTGCAGCAAGGTCCCGTGACATGGGTCTGTCAGAAGCTACTTTTGGAGACGAGGACGACAGTGATGAAGCTGATGATGCCACAGAGGACTAAGTGTTCAGAGCTTTCTCGTGATGAAGGGACGTTGTGCAATATATTTATAGACTGAAGAAGTCAGGGCTCTGAAGCATTCATCTTTAGAGATCTCATAATGTGTATATATCTCAAAAGGAGAAAACCAGTTTAAAACGACAGATAAATTCTCCCTCTCCAGAAAAGTTGAATTTATTGATACAAAATAACCAGTATTGAAGATCTAAATACACAAAACTATGAATATGTAATGCATAGAAAAATAAAATTGACATTTGCAGTATTATTACACTTAGAATAAAGTAGACTTTCTAATATTGTTTTCTAATTTTTTTTTAATGCATGTCACATGAAGATAAACTTCGAGATAATTAAAAATGTTTGAGAGACTTATAACTATGGATTTAAACTGGACTGTAACTGTCTCATAATCTCCATTGTTCATACAATGCACCAGCTTGATCAATGTAACATGATAAGGGCAATGTCCTGTTACTCAACTCTCTCTTAACATCTTAGATTGTTTTATTGTGGAGGTGAATCTCTCGACTGTCTGGCAGTTTTGTATAATCAGAGGCTCATTTTATACTTCTAATTTATTTAAAATAAAAAAATAAAAATTTGAAACAAGACAATTCACAGTGTCTTCTTGTCTATAAACCCACCCTTCGAATGAAGTTGGTAGTACATTGTAGTAATGTAAATATATGTGCCTTTTGTGTACATCCGTTCATCAGTCAAGTTTCCTGAGCTTTTCATGGTCACCGTTTCATGTTTGGACATCATATTCGGGATCTAGGTACATAATAGGATCAAGGTGCTGCTTTGTCACATACAAAGATAAGGCCATCCTGGTCAAACAGTGTGCCGTGTACCAAAAAGGAGTCGTCATACTTTCTGTTCAGTATTGGTTCATATAATTATAGGAGACCTTGCATCTACAAAACATGCTCCGAGTTATTTATATCTTATTTTGAGCAAAAGATCTTCCCAAAGTTAATAACCACAGAAATGCTTTTAACAACATTTTCATATACACCGATTTTGAGGCAGCATTTTGGATTCAATATGCATATAAAATTGTCTATTAATTTACTGGTAAATGTGTAACTTGTACTGTAGTCAGGAAATAAACTTGATATAAACTATATTACCATGTATATAGATTCTATGATGCTATATATGTACGTATACAGCCTCAACCGGGCAGTGCAATGACAAATCTCAGAAGTTAAGTAGTAATATATAATTTATTGACTTAAATTCACAATATACAACATGGACATGTATAGTGTAAACATTGAGTATATAAATATATGTAGTAGGTAGAAAGGAAATACAGCTATCAAAACAGATGTTGGAAATGTAATGCTCAATGAAACTTGATTTCAAAACAATTATCTTTGCAAGCCAAGCAGATGCACATCTTGTTCAATAACATGGCAATCAAAAGTGCTGTTCTTGATCAAATGTTTGTGTACCTTTTTTTTGAGACCACTTAATGTATAAAAGCGCCAAAAATTATTCCTTAAAGGGTGTGGACAGGAAAACTTTGAAACAAGAATAAATAATTGTATGAAATGAGGAAACTCTTTTTACTTCACATTTTAATAGAAAATTGTTTTTCTGCACTAGTTACCTGATCTGACACAAATCAGTTTTACTAAGATATGTGGAGTTAAATAAATAGTTTGGCAGTATATAATGAGTAGATATTGATAATAAGAGATCTGCATGATGTATAAAATGTAACCGATAAATGATCACTAAAAATGTTGACTTACATCCTGCTACTGGTATCATAGGAGGAAAATTACTGTACTATAATAACAGTTATTACAGGCAATGAAAACTACAGGAAATGAGGTGTGCTGGTGTGACGTGTAATAAACACGGAGTATCAGATCCAAGATAGGTTTGGCAATGTTAAGCACTTAATGTCAAGCTAATTACAGAACCAGTGTTTGGTAACTCTACAGCTGGAAACGTAAGTATATGTAGATTACGTTTTAAATTCAATGATATTAGTTCACAGTAATTTTTCCAATTCAAAATTGATGTATGCTATGGTTTGATACATATTTTTTGAAAAGCAACTACCTTCTAATCTAGTACAAGACAGTCATTTTGGGGACTTAGATATTCAAATCCCAGACTTGTGTTTTTCCTGATGGACTCTCCAAACTTTTGCAGGATCCACTATATAATAACCTTACAGTGATGGGACTCATCAAAATTTGGAAAAAAGATGTTCAGGACTAGGAACTCGCATGAAAAGAAAATACTACAAAAATCACCGACAAGCACACCGTTTTTCACTTGATATATACCTTATGAAAACATAATGCTGTATTTTAACACTTGTTAATATCAAATCGAATCAGATACACATACCCTGTGGAGAGTTTACACGACATGATCAGTAACAGCAATAAAATCTGGTATGTTTTTCTCGTGTCATGTCAAAACTTTCGGGTAAATCGTTGCACCAAATTAGTCACCCCACTCCGATTGAGCAAACCACACAGTGACATCAGGGTTTTGATAACTGCAAATTTTGATTCAAGTATTTCAACAAAACAACGTTTGTCTAACGCTGTTAAAATAGTTGATTTGATTGATCATTTTCCAACATCAGTACAAAAATTAAAGTAATAGAAAAGTTTAGAAAATGTTTGTCGTAAAAATGATCACATTGAGTATACATGTACGCGACACCACCATCATCAACACCAAGTTTGATGGGACGGATAATTATCACAGATAAAACAGGCCTAGAACAGAGGAAACACATCAGCTAGACTTTTCTGTGTCAGCTTTTTCAACACTGTTTGAATCGTCATCATCATCATCATAATCATCTTCATAATCATCAAAATCTTCATCGACAGCAGCTGTTTTGCTTTCCCTGATGTTCTCATCGAGTTCCCTGTCTGTGTGAGGATGTGGCCTCTCCGACAGGTCGTCAAGGCCAGGCAGGGAACCCTTAAATGTACTGTGGGCAATCTCCTGCAAATCCTCCAGTTGATGCTGCTGGTTGCTATCCACAACGTCTAGACGCTGTTTGAGCAAACGTATGTCCTCCTGGTGTTTCCTCTCCTAAAAATAAAATGACAAATGATCAAACATGGCATTGTCTTGTAACGAGTTAAATAACTTTAGTTTCACTTATTCATTTGCCCAGATTTATGACTCCAATTGTTATCGGGTACCTGTTCTGTAATACATGTATTTTGATATAAATTACAAGTCCATTACATAATAAATATACAAATGATTTGTCAACAACCTACTTGGACTATATTTTCAAATCAGAAATTCATACAAGAGCAGATAAAAAGTGTTTAAACCATTTTGATGATAATTTATCTGATATTTGAGGGAAAAGTTCAAAATTATATTTAGCAATCTACAATTATTAAATTACGGTACCTCTGATTTAATGTAAGGAAGGAGTCTGATTTCCACTTAAAAACACATTCACAAGAATTGAATATATCAACTATTTTTTCATTATGATTGAAAGGGGGAAAGAGAGCTTGAGGGAAATACTGTTTCATCTTACTGAAGTTGAGTTGAAGTTGACAAATATTACATGACCAGTTACACTACGGTACCATGCAGTACAAATGTAACACTAACTGATGAAAGACAGCACGTTTTGGTTCAACTTGCTGTCTTTAATTCAAACTTATGAGAAGAATTTGTGAAACTAATTTGTGAGATATTAACAAATACTTAGACGGTTAGCCTATAAGAACAGTAAGAAATAAGTCTACAAGATATCAGACACAACAGAAATTAGGTGTACATGTATTAAGAAATATGGTGATTTATATAAATTTCCTACACTTAACCTCTCCAGAACTGTTTATAAGATAGAACTGATGGGCTGAACTGTACATGTGTATTTGTACACTTCACCTCTCTAGAACTGTTTGTAAGATAATATTGATCATGTGACTCATTAAACTTTTACATTGTAATAGGAAACTTGCACAAACTATTTCAAATTCTATGTATATTTTACATATATATCCATTTGCTGTATAGCACATTTGATGTTTTGTTACAACTGTGCTCAGTGTTTAATAGTGATTACAAAATTAATTTTCTGTAGGACATCATTTTGTTTAAGACAACAAGATGAGGGATAGCGTAAAATTAACACTCTTATATATATTTTTTCTTAAGTTTCAATTTATCATTCAGAATTGACTTTGCAAGAGAAAAATTTCAGATATAAAATATGTAAATAACTATTAAACAAATAATGTAATCACAACACAAACATGCATAATTTAAACATGCAGGAACATCGACGAGAATAATGACACTGGTTTCCAATGACTAGTAACTATTTCTTAAATGGAACACAAAACATATTTTAACTTAACTGTGGTAAAAATTCCACATTATACATCTGACAGTAAAACTGTTTTAATACCCGTTTTAATGCTAATGAAATACATATATACTGAAATACTATTCATCCAGACTATAAAGAGACACTGAGTGTACATGCGCTACCCTTGGACACTTAGGTCAATGTTAACCTATTAATACTAGTAGTTATAGTGTGCACCCTGGTTTTGATTAACATCACCAGACCCCAGTGTCCTTAACCTGCGAATGCATGCAATAAATGAAGTCAGCATTGATCAGGTTGGTTTTGTTTTCTGTCATACAATACTAGATGAAAACAAATTACCCACGGTACAGTATTACATTTCTATTCATGTATTAGGGCTTTTATTCAGCCCTGAATGTCTTGAGACAAAGCTAACCTTTCAATGCTGAACCACATACTATTTAACATCAATTGTTTGACGGGTATCAAGAAATTTCACATGTGTCACATACATATATTTATGAGTATACGAGTATGAGGCGAGAGGAAGGGGTAGTTGTCTCTAATTTCAAATACTGCTGACTAACTCAGATTTAATCGAATATTTCAAATGGAGCTGTAGAACAGTTGTTATAAAATAAGTAGACAGTATATAGGCAAACACGATATGAATGTAACATGAGATTTGTTTGTGCAACTAACAACATGACAGACAAATTAGTGTTGGAGTAAAACAACAATTTTCTGTGCAAAAATGACTTTTAGCTAAAATAGAACAGAAGAAAGTATTCATTAGAATATAGAAGTATTTTTCATTAATTTTATGTGAGAGGGAATTAAAATCTAAGTGCATGTACTTTTCAAAAACAACACAGTTTTCAAGGATTTTACAGTACAACCCTGTAACTAACTTTTCAAACCTGTCCGACCCTGAACCAACCAGAAACCTTTCTAAACAGAACCCTGAACAATCTGGATATCTGTGTCAGCAAGATACTTTTAAACTACAATCTCACCAATAAATGATAATGTATATTGGACCGGTTCTTTCTGGAAAAAACGTCCATTCTGACTGAAAAACGTGGTACTTGTGGTGTTCAATTTAGAGAGGCTTCATTTACACAAATATTTAAATGTGCAGAGAAAAGTAAATACACCACAAATAATACAGTGTACCAAAAATCTGGTTTCTAAAGGACGAAAAATGTATACCAATCTATGATATTTGGCAAAGCAGGACGATGACAAGGTTGATGACCAAAGCAGTAACCATAGCAAGCTTTATAGAGATCAGGTGATAGACAATGTATATACAGTTTAGGATATGATGGCAGGATATTAAGATGCGAGTATGTAGGTGAAGGCAGGCATGTGAAATTCCTCAATACCAGGAGAGTAATATACAACAGAGGTGAACAGCGATGCTGCCGGGCATCCTACCTCAAGCCTGTACTATCTACTGAGTTTTGGGCTGGAAATCAAAGAGGTGAGGTGACAGGTAAAAACGTATGATTAGAACATCGTCATCAACAGACAAGGATGCCAAACCTTGGTAGACAGGACAATGTTTATTACTTACTAGTATAGTGTACTACATAAGTCTCTGTTAGTTACCCTGGTACTCTTGAAATGCTAGAGCCTCAATCTATTTTTCTAATATTCAATGGTATTGTGTTATCTTTCTCATATCAGTCAATTTTTCATCATTTCTTCATTTTCAAGTTTGCTGTTTTAACTTATTATACATTAAACATTGGAGTATGGTAAAGTTTGGCACCCTTGCAAACATTCAGTATATATATGTAATAATAGCACTGTGACGGTAAAGTAGAACACAAAAATGAAACTTAAATCATACTGAAAGACATTATAACTTAAAACAAGTGTACTAACATGACATATATATCAAATTCCAACATGTTGACCACATTCACAGTTAACATGAAGACATAGAAAACTAGGCTTGGTACATGTACACTTAAGTGATTAATAAACATAATTACACTTGTTGTGATAAAAAAATGTAAAAAAATACTAAATGATCCAATTTCGAATGAAAATGAAATAGTAAATTGATACAATTTTTATGCAGAAATCTAATGATCTATAAAATATGATGTTATGCGTGAGAAGAAATATTTCTCTTTGGTTATTTAGAACTATATGGAGAATACTGTCACAGTGTGCTGTAAAGTCGCAATGATACTGTGAGAGAGTTTCAGTTTAGACTTTACCTGCTCCGTGAAGCTGACATTGGGTAAGATAGTTGCATCCATTGCCAGATTCACAGATCCAAATGACATGTCTCCTATGGCTACCTGCTGTAAGCCTCCAGTGGAGAGCAGGAAACGACGAAACTCGCCGTGACGTCTCTGTAGGTCTTTCCACTGCTTCTTCAGTTTGTTATAGGTATCCTGTGGCACACAACACCTACAAACAGAGAGATTACCTTGACACGCTGTCAACCTTAGCAACAAAAGAAACATTATATCCAATTTTGATGGCTGCCCTTCAACAGATCACGGTATATTTAACTTATTTTCCTTAAACATTTTAAGTAATAAAATTATATATTACCTAGCCCGTATTCTACATTTTCCACCAACTGTAGTTTTGGTAAATATGTATGCAAACTAGTGCATTCATAACAATTACAAAGCAGATCGTTCAAGCCATAACTTTTCATTTTGTGATATTATACTTTTACCAACAGGTATATATTCAGACACAGTATTTATATACTTCACACTGGTTTAAAGAGTAAAGACAAATAACAGAATTAAAAAAAAAAAGTTTTTTCCGTACAGTATTTCATCATTTCTATGCTCAGGGAAAACCAATAATTATAAGTCAAAACAACAGGAAAGGAGTACAACAAGAGGCCCATGGGCCTTAACGGTCACCTGAGTCTATAGTATTTATTTTTGTTGTTGAAATATGTACCAATTTGAGTAAAAAATAGTATAATGTTAACTTAACTTTGTCAGGACCATGAGCTGATCATTCCTAGACCAATTTTAAGTGAGATCGGCCTATTAGAACTTAGTAGCAAAATAGCGGCCATGGCAGCCAAATTGTATTTCTGATTGACCCGAAAAATAACAACACTTTGTCAGGACCATGATTCGATCATTCCTACAAAGTTTCAGTTCAATCGGCCAAGTAGATCTTTACTTTAAGTTTGAAATAGTTTACCAAAATGGCAGCTGTGGTGGCCATATTGGATTTCTGATCGACCTGAAAAATAACAACACTTTGTCAGGACCATGAGTCAATCATTCCTACAAAGTTTCAGTTCAATCGGCCTAGCAGAACTTGACTTTAAGTTTGAAATATGTTTTCAAAATGGTGGCCGTGGCGGCCATATTGGATTTATGATTGACCTGAAAAATAACAACACTTTGTCAGGACCATGAGTCGATCATTCCTACAAACTTTAAGTTCAATCGGTCCAGCAGAACTTGACTTTAAGTTTGAAATAGGTTTTCAAAATGGCGGCCGTGGTGGCCATATTGGATTTCTGATCGACCCAAAAAATAACAACACTTTGTCAGGACCATGAGGCGATCATTCCTACCAACTTTCAGTTCAATCGGTCCAGCAGAACTTGACTTTAAGTTTGAAATAGGTTTTCAAAATGGTGGCCGTGGCGGCCATATTGGATTTCTGATCGACCCGAAAAATAACAACACTTTGTCAGGACCATGAGGCGATCATTCCTATCAACTTTCAGTTCAATCGGCCCAGCAGAACTTGACTTTAAGTTTGAAATGTAAAATGTTAACGGACGACGGACGACGGACGACGACGGACGAAAACGGATAGCAATAGGTCACTTGAGCTAAAGCTCAGGTGACCTAAAAAAGGATTGTCCTGTATATACCACTATTATAATAGTAAAGTGACAGCTAAGCACACCTATTTGTGCCTTCACTAATCACAGTACTCAATCAATATACTTACTCTAGAGCTTTCTTTTCCAACTGCAGCTCTTCATTTTTTGCCTCCATCAGTTGAAGTCGGTCCCGGGTATTCTCCACGACATGCTGACTACGTTTCTTATACTGTTTACAGATTACACAGGAAATGTATTAATAGTGTTACTGAGCCTGGTGCATCACAATACAAGGAATGTTTATCAATAGTGCTACAGAGCCTGGTACATCACAATACAAGGAATGTTTATCAATAGTGCTACGGAGCCTGGTACATTACAATACAAGGAACGTTCCTCAATTAATAAGTTGTTGTTACCAACCTAGTAAATATTCCAATGATACTAGTTGGTATATATATATATACACATGACTATATAAAGTAATTAAAGAATTAAACTTATTACATAAATCTGCATTTTGAATATTAAACAGACATTAAGTTATACAGTTCAAGCTTATTATCTCATCTCTCCTGTATTCTTAAGATACTCTGTACATCACCAAGCTATCAAGCACTTTATTCAGCCATACCATTAAGGTGCATTGTTTACTATTAGACATTATCCCAAAAACGTTTGCCCAGCCTAAAGCTGAGCTCAAACTAACACAGATTTCATAGGGAGACTCAAGGATCCCATAGCACTGTTGTTTTTGTATATATATACAGTAACCTCCCCTTTATTTCGTTTTCGATATGACTAGCCAATTGTGCCAGGACACTCCTGCTGACCAGGTAGCTCAGTTGGTAAGCCTTGCTAATTCTTTAAATTCAGAACACTGTTGTTGATTACATTTTGTTTATTTCTTATTTAATAGTTGGGCATAAAAAACCCACAAGGTATGGTTTTCTTTTTAGAAATAGTTTAGCAAATCTCAAGTCATGCCGAAAAAAAAGTTCTACTTTAAATTTAGGTTTTGGCGGTGGATCAGAAATCCTTAGGCTCAAATTCAGTTCGAGACAAACTCAGTGTCTTACTGATATAGCAGCATTGTGCTGCAATGCAATACATGAAATAAACACTTCTCAAAGAAATCTTACCTTCTTGTATACAGTGCAAGCCTTTTGATACTTCTTCTGGGCTATGCCAAGTTTGTTTTCAAGTTCATGTACCCGTAATTCAAGTTGTGTTCTGTCGTCCGTGAAGGCCGTTTTTTGCTGAGCTACTATTAAATCGTGGTTATCCTGAATTCTATGTAACTGATCTTTTGTAAGCTTCACTTCCTCCTTTAAGAGTTCTACTTGATTGCGTAATCTGATGTTTTCATCAGTCATTTCATGTTCATTTCCCATGTAACTGCTGAGTTCTGTTTCTACTTTGTTCACTTTACTTTTCAGTTCAGAGTTTTCACGCCTTTCTCTTTCTAGCTGGTCTGATGTTGACTGTGAGTGAGTTAGTTTTGTTCTGTAACAGAAAGGGAACAATGGGAGCTGGTTGTATTAAAGATGGAGATGTGTAAACAGCTACGTGTAAATGAAGAACAACATTTATACGAACGGCATAGAATAAGGGGCTCATTTTTTCTTTCAAAATATTATATGAAAAGTATTGATCCAGCTCATATTCAGTCACCAGTTACCTGTAGCAACAATGATAATCGATCAGGACTATAGCATTTTTATAACATCCCCACCCAATACAAGGTCATGGTACATCAATTTCAAAAGCATTACCAAAAGATGGTCATTCAATTCATAATGCATATAATACCATTTTTGCCTCAAAAACAAAAAACTTTCTACCACCTATTATCTTTTATTTTACCCTCGATGAGTAATGGATATTTTTAACTTGAATGTCCTAATCAACAATCACATACAGAAATACCCTCTATGAGTATCATCATGTATATTATTTATATCTTCCTGTCTGCAATTGAATGCAGTCCTTACATCTAACATAAAACTTATGTTATGAATAATTTCATTACATATATGCAGAATTTTACAATGAGTTAAGACTGCCATGCCTGTTTTAGGACATTGCCTATATCTGGTTGACCTTTACCAGATATAACCACGGTATAATTTTAACAATCAGTAATACAACTAATTGGTGTCATACTTTATCACAAGAAGTTCACGCTCTGCGATATCTTTCTGATCCATGGCCGCCCGGATCCTCTCCTCTGTCTTCTCTCTCTGTGCATGTTTCTGGGCTTCCTCGTCAATTTTTCTTCTCTCAATCTCTTGTAATTTCGTTTCCATGGCAAGTCTGTAGCAGATTTTAGAACATTCAGATGATGCAATCATATTGATTTAAACATACTTTCAAGTATGCGTGTCATGAACTGGATAATATTCATAGAAATACTTAAACCTGGTACAAAATAGCAAAGTGAAAAGCGTAAGAATACTATTTTGATATCAGGTGAGTAATAAAGGAAGTGTATCTCTTTTCACACTGGAAAAAGAAATATTCACAAGTTTCATTAGCTGTACACTGTTGAAAAAGAAAATTTATCGTTTTTATTATAGCATACATCTTTCACATATTTAATACATGATACTTAAACCCATACATATGCATGTGAATTAAAGATAATAATATTCTACATAATACAATAACAAGTTTAAGTTATTCAGTAGACTATACATAGACAAGCCGTTATGTTAAATTCCGGTGACCTACTTCTCACTCTCCAGCCTTGTGAATTTTTCAAACTCCTCCTCGCGGGCGCCCTGGACACGACGTGCAGCCTCCCTCTCCTTCTCAGCCAGACTGCGAGACTGCTGGTCAACGGTGTGTTTGGAAATCTCCAGCTTTGTCGTCAGGTCTGTCAAAGTATCACAATAGGTCAATAATTCACTCAAATAGTTTACACCAAAAGTTGATTTTTCTTTGAAAAAAAATCATTAGTGGTTTAATATATCATAAAATATTTCTCATTCATGATGACGCATACAGCGATCAGAAAATCAATGCTTTGAATACTTAAACAATACTTTATGCACATATATTATTCATATGATAATGTTGATTTATTTTTCAATCTCTTGCACTGCCTGGATTGTGTTATTCTAATATTTTAACTTTTCAATAAAGTCATTCAGTGATACTAATTCCAGTATCACCACCAGTCACTGCTGCGACATCTACAGTGAATCGTGTGGGGTATTGAAATGAATGGTTTTGGTTTAGTATTGTTTAATGTCCTATCAACAGCCATGGTAATGGATTGATGAGCTACTAGTACACAACACATACTAAAATCAAGTCCGACAATAATACTTAGGACTCACGGACATTTATAAAGTTGACTGGAACACATGTAGATTGCTATTATAACCTACCATCGATGAGGTTGGCGAGTCTGTCCCGATCACGCTCCAGATCTCCCCGTTGTTTCAGCATGTCCATCTTAAGATTGGTGAGATCTACCTTACTCTTATGAGATACCTCATCTGCCTTGTTTTTGAGGAGGATGTTTTCACGTTCCACTTCATGTGTGCGAGAGATCAGTTTGTTGTGAGTGTCTCCTGTGCCAGACAAGTCACGCTGGAGCTGCTCCACCTGTTTCCGTAGAGACTCCCTCTCGGTCTGTAAACACCAAACTATACTATGTCACACTAATATTACATCTCTGTCTGTAAACTACCTATATCAAAATACACTATATCACACTGACAATACCTCTATGTCTGTAAATATCACAATATACTGTCACGCTAACTCCAATATACAAGGACGATACATCACACTCCCGAAAATATAGTTGATAAACACACCTTTACAACATAAAGGTAAGAAAATTTGAAAAAGAGTCATAGTTTCACCGACAAATCTGTATTTTTTTATATAACATTCAATGAATTTGTCAGTTTTATCATGTGAATATGGTGTTATGCAGTGTCATAAAGCCATCACATAAATTATGATTATGTACATGCGTAAATGACGTCACAATCGAATAGGAACAATCAATGTGATGTCACGTCATTGTGAAGCGAACGTACAACATTTCCATCATTTCGGAGACGGCCAAGTGCAAAATACTCGTTTCAGATCACAACTATAAAGTTTACTTCGTATTATATGATAAAAAGAATCTGTCATTCATTTCCCTTCATATTAGATTGATGATACTCGTTTTCGCGAGTGAAGGGAAACTTATGACAGATCCTCTATATAAGTTATACTAAATCCCTCACATATTCCTTCTCCATACCTCTATAGCCTTGATAGATGCAGTGAACTCTGCGATCTGTTTGGCCTGCACACGATTCAGGTGGTCCACATCAAAACTCTGTTTCTCTCGCTGAGCCTGGATTTCCTCCATTTCTGTACTTAAGCTCTTGAGCTTAAGGTGTATTTGAGCATTCTCGCGTTGCAAGACACGCACTCGCTCAGAGTCCAGAGTACCCTCTGCCTTCATCTTTGTCAAGGTCAACTCTCGCTCCTTCCGTAGATTTGACACCTGTAACAAATGGTGTAATAGGGTCTGTGTATATGTCCATATTTATAGTTTAAATATTTAGAAATATTACTAAATCCAAGGGAGATAATCTTAAAAGTTTACATACATTTTGTAAATTGATGTTAATTGTCTTTCAAAACTCAGTTTTATTTCATCTACAGTATCTCACTTACTGTTTAAACATTCATGTTTGTACCTTGACTTAGAAAAGTATCTCTTACAAAAAGAAAAAAAGAAAATTTGAGGAAAAAACAGTAGAAATTTTACAGGGGACAGGGTCTTGTATATACTTGCCCTAGATTTACCTTAAATAGCTCTGGTTGCCTTGGTATCAAAACTTTTGAACACTTTCATTTAACTGATGATTACTATGAAAGAATATGCCTTACAAACAAAAGTGATTGCAGTAATCAAAACTCAATTATAACCGAGAAAAATGTCCATGAATTTACCAAGCTTGGTTAAAAGTCTTTCCTTCATATACCGAAAGACACTGCCTTGATCTGCATTTGGGAGAATGTTATATGGTAACCAACCCACCTCTGCCTCATGCTGTAACCGTAGTTCATCAATAATGCGCTGGCTTTCCAGTGTGCCATGTTCAAACTCAGACTTAACAAAGGCCACCTCATACTTGAGTTTAGTACAAGAGGACTTGTACTCATCCAGCTCCGTTTCCTGTCTGTGGTACTTCTCTTTGTATGTCCTCTCCATATCATCCACCACCTGCATCTTCAGGATCTCCAAACGTTGGGGAGTCACCACCTGACAGGTAAATACAACAAGTAAAATAAATAACACAGTCTCATTAAAACAACTCCATGCCTCTATGAGAATTTTGACATAACATTTAGGATTGGTATAATATTTTTGAATTTGTTGCTGTTAAATTTAATTCATGCTTATACCCTTTTTGATATATATGTATATCTTTAAACTTGTACAATCAAGTACTATTTCACAGTATAATATTATGCTTAAACTTTGTTGCCACGTCATGACTTTCATTTGATCCTTGCATTGGGCATTAATATATAAGCAATTTCAGAACTAAATTACATTTTTCATTAAATTTGGAGGGTCAAAACAAATGTCAAGTAGATTCTTTTAAACCCAAAAGTTCATATAGCTACCTTGCTGCGTAGATCCTCCAGCTGTTCCGACTTACAAGTCAGATCTTTCCTGGCTTGTTCGTACATTGTCTTGTACTTCTCCTGCACAATCTTACTCTCCTCAATCGTGTGCTTAATTTCATCCTCCAGTTTAGAGTATTCATCCTGCAGTCTACAACCACATATAAACAACATAATGCAAACCAAATCATGACCCATTATTTTCAGCTACATATGGAACTCTTTCGGTATTGAGTAAAAATGTATTGTAATCCAAGTATTGTGATATGTTGTATCCAATAAGTAATCAGTTTCATTAATGTTACAATTTATAATTACTTTACCTACATTTTTTTTTTATCTTCTTAAGCATGATGTCTCGTTGTGCCTTATAGTATATATATGTATAGCTATAACTTATAAGGAGCTAGTCTCCGTTTATTTTAATTCCAAAACTTGAAACTCATTCTGAAGGATGGAAACCTCTCAGCAATTAAATATTGTGTTAACAATTCTTAGATTGTTGAAGATGTGTCTATAAAAAACAATAGGTGTGTGTCTTCTGTTTCAATAACATTTATAAGAAATTGCTATTGTATTTATACCAATATTGTTCAATATAAAAGGAAGTTCTACATGCTGACTCTGGTACAAAATCCAGTTTTTGCAATGAAAATTTCCCTGCCAAAATTGAGATCTCCCTAACAGTGGGAGGGAATTCGAATATGCCATACAGTGACCAGCTTGTACTTCCACCGAGGATTGTACCAGCGTACCCCAGTTTCCTGGGCCTCTGCTGTACCAAATGAACTAAAGGAAAATATTTTAGCCTCTTGTACGAAGTTACTGTAGAAGGTAATCATGACTAAAGTATACTTTAAAACTACTACTTCTTTTTTAACTGTGTCTGCCCACAAACACCACGACAACCAAGGTTCGAACTCCATCACCATAGGGAGAGCCATGGACACCATTTGCAACAGGAAAGAGAGTAGTAAACATGTGCTTACATCAGAGATCAAACCAGTCACCCCAGTTTCAGCTCTACAAATGAGCTAACATATACGTAGGGTAAGGTTGCCAGATGCAACACCTCTAGGCAGACCTAATGAAGGTCACAGATGCATGTGAGTTCTGATTTAAGAATGGCAGTGTGCTTTCTGTTGAATTGGTGCTCATACAGTAATGGAAGTATGGGTATATAGGTTACAAATATATAGTGTGTTCTATAAAGACGTGTATGTAAGTATATAGAACAAACTCTCGTAACCTATACTTCCATCCTTCCATGACTGTATGAGCACTAACAGAAAGCATGCTTACATTTTCCAAATGCTTTTGTGGAGAGTGGCAAACAGCAACTTATAAAAAAAGGTCAAGTTAAAAAGCTGTAAAACATAGTTTGAATCGAAGTTGGGTAGCGTGCCTGTCCATATATATTGGCTTAGTCTACATGCTACAAACCTTCTATGCTCTTGTTTTAACTGTTCATAATTTGTTCTGTGCATTTGACTCCTCATTCGCTCGTCAGTCAACATTTTCTGTAATTCTGTTTCTGTTGCAAGTTGGGGAAGTTTTTGGGCCAAGCTTTGTCCAGGGGACGGCGGCAATGGAGGAAGGCTTGCATTTAAACCCATGCCTCCAGAGGCCCCCAAAAAGCTGCTACTGGCCATGACGTCAATCTCAACTTTGCCTGCAATTATAAGAAAATTATCGTTAGTTTTACAGTAGTAACATCTACTTTAGGCCGGTTTTACTGTCTATCTATTATTTAAGAATGCGAAGAAAATTATGTTCTTCTTACCTTTTCGTAGTATTATTCCATTTTACTAATAACAGTTTCGTCTGCATACATAAAATATCATATCATAAGTGAGTAAATGGTTTCATTTTCAACAACCTATTTTGGCCCCGAAACTCAAAACGTGCCTGGACACATCAGTGTATTCCCGGTTATTATAATTCTACATCTGACCATAAGAGATTAATATCAACCATTAAATAGTTCGGTATTTAAAACACTTTTTGCAATCGATCAATATCTATCGTACCCTTTATCGGTCTACAGGTAAATGATATAAGTTCTCGAACCACCACATCATGATGTTTACGTTGTTCAAAAAATGTCAACACCAAAGCTACGCATGTGCAAACCAGTCTTCCTGTCAAGTTAACGTTCGAATTAGATGACGGACCCGGACCGTGTTTCCGGTCGGTAACGAGGAAAGAGAAGACAGAAAAATACTACTCTAGTTCCGTGGTATACCCAAGTCACAAAAACACAAAAAGCTGTGTTTTTTGTGATTCCAATGAATCAGCATGCAGTATAAGTTAATGTTTCCATCATTAACCACATTTTATAAGGTCTACCGTCACTGTACCCACGAACTTAGATAATAATAATAATAATATTTATTCAGGTAAAACAGTCATGTTATTACAAGATATCACATTTGATTTTAGAATAAAATATATAATTAAAATCACATTGCAGCTTGTAAATAAAAGGTTTTTTTTAATTCAATCATTGACATATATCACAGAGTATAAAAATCTAAAAAAAGGTCTGATACACTGTAAAAAAAAGGCAGATATTACTATAAAATGAGACAAAATGAGACTGACTATTTTAGTAAATGAAGGTATTTATAAATAAAAAATAGATCGCATAATAGGAGTGGTGGTGATTGCCATTTACCTAGGATTGCCCCTAAAGCCACAAAGTGGCTTATTTTCAATGGGGTCCTTAGCAAATATAGCAAATATAGCAAATAATAATCTATTTCCGTGCTGTACCTAAATCGGGACACATTGGAACCATTGCAATTTTGTATTCTTTGTTACAAAGAAAGAGAGTCTTTCATCAAATTCAAAATTTTCATCCCAGCCTTTTTTTTTATTCCACTTGCAATTACATCATTTTTACTAAGCACGTTAAAAAATCTTTTTTTTAGCAAATATTTGTTTATTTCTTGGAATAAAAGGATGGTCTATTTTTGGATGGGTAAAGTTACACCATCTGCAAAGCTCGTTTTTACCATAGTAATGTAAGAAATTTGCTCTAACACCATATATTTCTCTGAATTATAAAAAAATGAAGACGTTGTTGTTATCCATTTTTAAGTCTTAGCTACAACACCCTTCCTATACCAATTTTGAGTCTGAATATTTTCCTCAAGAACAGTAAGATTTTTCCATGCAAGAAAGATATCTTTCCAGAAGAGATTTTTACAGTTATTATGTCAGAAAGAAATGTACTCTGATCCACAATTCAAAAGAAGGTTTTTATCAATAGTTGAATTTAAAATAATTTTTCATTTTCCTGTTGTTGAGATAAATCTTCTAATCCAAGTTAGTTTTAATGAGTCTTTAAATGATTTAATATGAATCATTTTGAGACCACCATCCGAAAAGTTTTTAATAATTACATCTCTTTTAATGTTACCAATCTCACTATTCCAGACGAAGTTATATATTTCGGGATCTATCTTTATTATCAGGATTTGGTAAAGCGATAAATAAGTGATTACATTGAGAAATAAGGTGATGAATAGGAAATGAGAGTTCTACGCCACTTTATCCCTACCTCTATATTTATAGTAAATCCCTCCCTGACGGGATGGATCAGTGAGGGACCAGTGAGGGATGAGGAACTGACCCCATGTCCTTTCATATGAATTCCCTCTCAAAATAGGTTGAATACCCCATAGGAAACATTGAGGGACGAGGTATTACCTTACGTCAAGTCTATTTTTAGAGCAACTGGCTATAGCATGTAGACATATATTTGCTCAGTATAAATAACTACGAGAAGCTTATTATTGTTCCATATTCCATGTTCCATTGACCTTTGACCTCCGGACCTGAAAAGTAATCTCAAGCACTTTTGGTAAGTAAGAACTACATGAAGATTGAGTTTGATCGGCCCAATGAAACTCAAGTTATCGCACGAAAACAGATTTTCTATTTATAGTAACAGTGACCTTGACCTTTGACCTTCGGACCTGAAAAGCAATACCAAGCAAGCACTTTTGGTAAGGAAGCACTGCATGAAGTTTGAGTTTGCGCACGAAAACCTCTGTGCCGACGCCGACGCCGACATAGCAATACCTATGTGTCACCAGCTTTTCGCAGGCGACACAAAAACACCCAAATATCCTGTATAAAGGGATATTCATTTCATTTATGTCGATAAAATTTCAACGAACTATATATATTCCAGTCTCACATGGTGAACCTCAGCGATTCTGTCTCACAATGGCACGTTGTATAGGAGACGACATATCAATACAATTTAAGTTTACCCATGTAACAGCGTGAATGTCCAACTTTTACCGATGCAAATTGTCCGAGATAGCTGATACATCACCATTACTCTACAATAGTAAAACACCAGCCTGGATACAGCCGGCCAAAAGTTATTATGGAGAAATAACCCTAAACAAAAACAAAAACAAAAACGAAACACACAATCAAATGTTTATATGAAATAATCACCATGGCCCACTTGTATAAAACATCACAACTCTTGAGATTTCCTCAAGTCTAAGATTTCCCATAGACACTACATTGCTTGAGATTTTCCTTAACTTTGAGATGTTTTATACAAGTGGGCCCATGACTGCAACCGGTCAAACGTTAACGTAGAACAGAAGCCGATAATAACACCAGACAAAGGTTAATTTTCTTGGAAATTCATCATGGATACAACCAGTAAAAGTTAACGTGGGGGAATAATCAACGATAATAAAACTATCCAGTCAAAGGTTCATGTAGAATTATCAACATGAATACAACCCGTTTAAATTTTGATGTGGAAGCTGGAATTTTCTTTATCTATAGTTGCCTGTCTACAGTGGAGCAAGAAATAGATAAGGGCATGCGTCTTATACCAAACAGCGTTACACCTGGTCAGGTGAGCGCCTTATCAAGGGAACAACACGAGGAAGTTGAACAATGGCGAGGTTCTCACAGTTCGTGTTTACTCTGCTCTCACTCTCGATTCAAACCGTGTTTGGTAAGTGAGTACTCTTACATAGATATCAGTAGTAATTCAAACCGTGTTTGGTAAGTGAGTACTCTTACATAGATATCAGTAGTAATTCAAACCGTGTTTGGTAAGTGAGTACTCTTACATAGATATCAGTAATAGGTACTAGAGGATTGTATGTTATGATTAGTTTCTATACGTAATTCATGCTAATTTTCATTGTGCAATTTACCACTACTTTGTGTGTCTTTTCAGACCGTGTTCATTGCTGAATAAACATATTTAAAGTAAACGGAACAGAGTCCCATTTATGAACACGGTCGGAATACTGAACCCCATCATTGCCACATCACCACAATGCCAGCTGTAGCCTGCCCTATCACAGACTGCGACTATGTCACGGATGACCTGGATGCCACTATCGTCGCGGCACTCATCACGGCTCACTCCGCTGTACACATACCCAAACGAGAACACGCTGCTAAAGTTGAGAAAGTTAAGCGACCCACGCTCAGTGCCGCAGGATCTAGCGAGGAGTGGGCATATTTCCAATCTCGGTGGTCGGACTATGTCAGTACCACGAAAATCACTGGACGCGATAAAGTAATCCAGCTACTGGAATGCTGTGACGAGCCATTACGGAAAGACTTGACACGATCAGCCGGTGGTAGTCTCGCTGACAAAACCATGGATGAGGTTTTAGCTGCAATTAAAAAGCTCGCAGTACGTGAGGAAAACACTATGGTTGCAAGAGTGACGCTACACAATATGCGACAGGATCGTGATGAAACTGTCCGGAGTTACGGTGCTAGACTTAAAGGACAGGCCGGTATATGCAAGTTTGTGATTAAGTGCCCCGGATGTACAGCCGACGTCAATTACACTGACGCTATCATGCGTGACGTACTCACCCGGGGAATTGCCGATCCGGAAATACAACTTGATCTGCTAGGACACAAAAATCAGGACATGAATCTTGAGGATGTATTTCAATTTGTCGAATCAAAGGAAGCCGGTAAACGTTCAGCTTCTAGACTTTCAGATTCTCATCCAGTTGAGGCTGCCAGCAGCTCATACCGGAAAAGCAAGGCTGACAGACCGTCGTCCAAAGACACCTCCAACAAAGCAGAGCAATGTGCATATTGCGGAAAAAAGGGACACGGCAAGTCTGCCCTTGCTCGCATACGTAAAACAGAGTGTACAGCATATGGACACATATGTGGGCATTGCCATCGCGAACATCATTTTGAAATTGTATGTAGAAGCAAGGACAAACCCAAAGTGACAGACCGTGATACACTTTCCGGAAGTGCTTTGTTCGACGCATTGTGCTCTGTTCATGATTCTCTACAACATCACCACTGTACCGTTAGTGATTCTGGCATCGAACGCTCAATCTGCATCGACCACCATGTCTATGACGAACTGACGAATTCCTGGGTGAAACAACGCTCCAAGCCTCAACCATTCGTGAACGTGACGGCTAAAGTTACTGCTGAGGACTACGCCGCCCTAGGCTTCAGACTAACACGAGACACCAGCAACGTCTCAATACAGGCTATGGCTGACACGGGATGTCAGAGTTGCCTCGCTGGCTTGAAAGTAATCCGCCGCCTTGGTCTACGAGAATCAGAACTCATACCTGTAACGATGCAGATGCACACGGCTACATACGGTGGTATCAAAATTCTTGGGGCGACCATCCTTCGCTTGATTGGTAAAGACAAGGCAGGAAACACCAAGGAGACCAGACAGATGACATATGTCACAAGCTCAACAGACAAGCTCTTCCTCAGTCGCGAAGCCTGCGCTGCATTAGGTATTATCCACGATTCATTTCCAACCGTCGGAGCTCAAGTCCCTTCAGCTAGCATACATGTCGATGCTACTTTCTCCTTACCGGATCACCAAGTCAAAGCATGCGATTGCCCTATACGCCAACTGCCACCACCGCCTCCGACAAAACTGCCTTTTCCTGCTACAACGGAAAACGTTGGTCACTTAAAAGGTTACCTTCTTGACCACTACATGTCTAGCACATTCAACACATGTGAATACCAGACTTTACCACTCATGAATGGACCTCCCTTGAAGCTCATGGTGGACTCCAACGCGAAACCTGTCGCTCACCATACACCAGTACCCGTTCCAATCCACTGGCAGGGTGCAGTAAAGGCTGGACTAGACCAGGATGTTCGTTTATAACCACTGCAACCGTATTGCTCCATCTAACCCGAATGCACCACCGACTCCTTTGATAACTCCTGACTATCCATTCCAATGCGTGTGTGCAGATTTCTTCCACTACTGGGCTGTAATTACCTAGTGGTAGTTGATCGTTATTCCAACTGGCCGGTGGTGGAGAAAGCCTCTGATGGTTCCAATGGTTTGAAAGACTGTCTCCGAAGGACATTTGTTACTTTTGGTATCCCTGATGAACTAGCATCAGATGGTGGACCCGAGTTCACTTCTGCGGCCACACGTCGTTTTCTCAGGAACTGGGGCGTTCACCATAGACTGTCATCTGTAGCTTTTCCCCATAGTAACTGCCGTGCTGAAGTGGGAGTCAAAACAATCAAGCGTCTGATCACTGGCAACACCAGTCCCAATGGCGACTTAAACACCGACGCATTCCAACGCGCTATTCTCCAGTATCGTAACACACCTGACAGAGACACAAAACTATCCCCTGCTATGTGCGTGTTCGGTCGTCCTATACGAGACTTTATTCCTATACCACCCGGTCGGTACATTCCACACAACACTTGGCTGGAGACTTTAGCAGCTCGCGAGGAGGCTTTACGGAATCGTCACATGCGAGAAAGTGAACGTTGGTCTGAACACACCAAACGCCTCTCACCTCTTGCAGTTGGAGATCATGTACGCATCCAAAATCAAGTTGGTCCTCACCCCCTTAAATGGGACAAGACTGGAATCATTACCGAAGTTCGCCAGTTTGATCAATATGTAGTTCGGGTTGACGGATCTGGCCGTGTTACCTTACGCAACAGGAAATTCCTAAGGAAGTATATCCCAGTCGTTACACCACCAGCGCGCTACACAATTGACAATCAAATTGGACTCTCCCATCGTACGACGTCTCCTACTTCTAACGCCCCAGACACCGTCGTCGGTGAAGAGAGCAACCCTCCCCGTAAGGATACGAGTCCTCCACCATCCACTCCGTTGACTACTAGAACCATACAACGTTCGCCTCGTTCATCATCTGATGTTGATCACCCTTCACCACCATTTGGTATTCGAGACATCTTCAGTCGACGTCATCTAGCGTTTGATTCTCCTGCAACCCCAGTGAGCAAAATCACCACACCCCCGGCAACGATGCCACCTATCTCGACACATACGCCACAAGCAGTAGTTCCGTCCCCTGCACCGATCCGGACTTCTGGTCGTGCCACAAAGAAACCAGCTTGGCATTCAGATTATAAAATGTCCAAATAACAATTGACTTGTTTCTACTTGGAACATTTCCTAAGTGTTATATCTGTTGTGCAACTTTTCACGGAGACTCAGTGCTTCATTTTGTTTATTTTAGGACAATTAGTCGGACATTTCTTAATAATTCTCATATTTCACATCAGTCTTTGTTCCTAGGACTAATACGAGTGACCCTATTACTTACGTGTACCAAAGACTTGGGGGAGATAGAGGATTGTATGTTATGATTAGTTTCTATACGTAATTCATGCTAATTATCATTGTGCAATTTACCACTACTTTGTGTGTCTTTTCAGACCGTGTTCATTGCTGAATAAACATATTTAAAGTAAACGGAACAGAGTCCCATTTAGGTACTACGTAGCACAGAACTCGTCCCGGAACTGAACTATGTGTATTAAACTAAAACTGTTACCGACAAATTATAGCTCTACTTAAAGTTTAAGGACCAATATTCCAGGGCAAATCTCCTGCCTCTCACAGAATCGTTTTCTGCTTTAACAGTTCAAGATTTTACTGTCACCCTCTAAGGTATTGATTTCTCTGCCATACTCTAGGCAGAGACATATAAAGCCATATATACGTCTCTGCTCTAGGGTGTGTTGAATTACCAGTAGCATGTATAGTGACAAAAGATACCATAGCGTCAAGTCAGTGATGTGTAACACATTATCATGGCCGTGTGCTACAGACTGCATGCTACCTAATGATTACACAACAGGACACATATCCCGTATCTGACTTACATTACCTACATTCTGCCCTACTGGTTTTGTTGTAACACAATAAGACACATCTGACTTATCTTACTTACAGACTGCCCTACTGGTTTTGTTGTAACACAATGAGACACATCTGACTTATCTTACTTACAGACTGCTCTACTGGTTTTGTTATAACACAATGAGACACATCTGACTTATCTTACTTACAGACTGCCCTTCTGGTTTTGTTGTAACATAATGAGACACATCTGACTTGTCTTACCTCCAGACTGCCCTACTGGTTTTGTTGTAAAACAATGAGACACATCTGACTTATCTTACTTACAGACTGCTCTATTGGTTTTGTTATAACACAATGAGACACATCTGACTTATCTTTCTTACAGACTGCCGTACTGGTTTTGTTGTAACAAAATGAAACACATCTGACTTGTCTTACTTACAGACTGCCCTTCTGGTTTTGTTGTAACACAATGAGACACATCTGACTTGTCTTACCTACAGACTGCCCTACTGGTTTTGTTGTAACACAATGAGACACATCTGACCTATCTTACTTACAGACTGCCCAACTGGTTTTGTTGTAACCCAATGATGTACATCTGACATATCTTACTTACAGACTGACCTACTGGTTTTGTTGTAACACAATGATGCACATCTGACTTATCATACCTCCTGGTTTTGTTGTAACGCAATTAGACACATCTGACCTGTCTTACCTACAGACTGCCCTACTGGTTTTGTTGTAACACAATGAGACACATCTGACCTATCTTACTTACAGACTGCCCAACTGGTTTTGTTGTAAC